TATTTAAAATATAATTGACAGAATCTAGACATTTGTCCCACACCATTTCCCCCTCTTTTTTTAAATAAAAAGAACTCTGAATCTAATATCCTTTGTTTAGTTTTTCTCCTGATCACTATCAACTTGTAACCAACATTCTAAACAAAGGAAACAATCCATAGTTCATTTTTCGGGAATGTGGGCATAGTTTTCCAGGCTACTTCCTGCTGTTTGGGGGCACTGATAATCTTACAGGAACCTAAAGAAAATTTAGAGTTATGATCAAGTCCTGACTGGAGTATCCTGTGAGGTTTGATCATTTCAGGCAGCAGTCTTGAAACCTGTTCTGGATGTAGAACTCTGTCATCTGGGCCATCTGTTCCTACTGGAGATTTCTCAGGTGGTCTTTCTTGATCAAACCCGATTTTTCTTAACTCAGAATGAATTCAGAGCCTCTCATTTTCTGTGGAAACAAAAACAAAGCCTCTTCTCCAAAGTAACATATCTTTTAACTTTAACTTTAAAGTCAAGGTATTTTCACAATACCTATCTTGGGTTAATATTTTATTTATTATTATAAACAGCAGTATTTATAAACAAATATCTTTTAGCAGCTGTTGCTCCTTCCTCAGCATTCAAATAATTCAAAGAGAACATAGTAACATACAGTATTGAGACTCTCTGTGTATTTTTCATCTTTACATGGTTTTAGTTTAACCTCTATTTCTTTTATTTTTACTTTTAACTTTTGACTTTTTGAGACAGGTTCTCTGTGTATCTTTGGCTGTCCTGGAACTCACTCTGTAGACCAGGTTGTCCTTGAACTCACAGAGGTCTGCCTGCTTCTGTCTCCCAAGTGTTGGGGTTAAAATTGTGTACCACCACACCCAACTATTCTCTTTCTTTTTTATTTTAAGGACTATCACCTTTTCTTCTTCCCAAACTTGCATATATTTTTAAACACATAGTAAACCATTTAGAGGTTTTTTTTTCATCTTTGATTCTATCTTTACTGTATCTCTCTCTCTCTTTTTCTGACCACATGAGTCTTTAATTTGCTAAGCAATATGGAGAGGATTAAAGCCATGGCTTTGATGGCTGGATCCAGCCCATTCCTTAGCTTTCTGAGAGTCCAGCCTATAGGCGAATCAATCCCACACCAGTTATGTTTTAAGGGGTTATTTATTTTGGGGGGTAAAACTTACATACACCATAAACCGTCAGGAAGGGAGCCTAGTCGCTGGAGCAGGAGCCAGGAGCAGGAGCCGGGACCAAGCGCCGGAACCAAGAGGGCCTGATCTGTGGCTCTTTTTAAAAGAGAAATATACCACGCCCCAGTGGGCTGGTATTTCAGCGGCTATTGGCTGACGGAGCGGAAGGCGCTCCCCGTTGCACTGTGGGCTCGTGCTTCAGCGACTATTGGCTGAGGCAGCGAAAGATACTCTCACAACACCAGCCTCATGGCAAAGGTACTGACTATAGCCATGTTTATTGTCACAACTCTATCGCATTTCAAGATCCCTGCCAGCAAGGAAGCTTTAGCACAGAAAGCCAGCATTTTAAAATGGAATGACTTTTTGGGCACCATTTGTTGTCGAGGTTTTGTGTGTGTGTGTGGGCGGGGGGAATTATAGGAATGTTAATCTGGGTATTTCATTGCTGCAATATTAGCTATATATGACCTCAGCCTTCCTTTTTATCCTTTTGGCCCTATGCATTCAACTCATCTTGTGCTTTGTTTTACTTGAGATAGGGTTCCAGTTCCTAGGAATTGAATATTTGTGTCTTGAAGAGACCAATTCAGATGCCAAGATTTTGAAGTAATGATACTCACATCTGCATCTGTGTCTATTAATTCCTTAATTACAATGTCATTTATATGCATTTTTAGCTTTAGTCTTTGATAATTTATAGATGTCTGCCAAAATATATGTTTTTTAATTTTTTGCTGAAGTTTTTTATTTATTTTCTAGGTCTATTTTATTATCCAGAATAATATGGTTTTTTTACAGTAGGTACTGGATTGTTTAATTTTTTTGGTGAGACATGTTCTCCACAGTGATTGGAAATGACTGTACCACATTAGACATGGAGGCTTGAGAGAGGCCCCTCAAGGAGTTTTCTGATGGTATTGGTTTGCCTTGTCTGTCTTTTGTCGTTCTACATTTACTGGTCCAATGTCAGCCTTTGCGACATCTCTTACATATACCAGAAGACTGAGTCCCCCTATTTTTGCCGTTTTTAGAGGAGACGTTATTTTTTAGTATTTTTTTTTTTTGCCTACAGTCCCTTTTTAGATGCTCTATTTTTACCACAATTAAAACATTTGGCAATTTGGTGTCTCCTCGTACCACTGGAGATCACTTTTCCTACCTAAGCCTCAGTATTATAGTCAAATGTCTCAACATTTATTGTTAGCAAGATTCCTTTAACCGTTGGTGCTTATCTGACCTTTAAAAGCCCAAGAATCTTTTTGCATTTTAAGTTGGCGTTTTCAAAAGCCAAAGATTTAATAAGTGCTCATCTAGCCTCCGGGTCTGTTACTCCTACTTGTACAGCCTAAGTTAATCTTTGTAAAAAGTCTCTAAAGGCTTCTCTTTGGTCCTGTTTAACTCTAATATATGATTCAATTTTTCCCTAGTTCCTGAATCCTGTCCCAAGCATTTAAAGCTGCTGTGTTGCGTAGGGACAAGGTGCATTTGTCGTAGCGAGCCTGGTCCTGAGGATCAGAGTAATGACCCTCGCCAAGAATTTCATCTTGGGAAGTCTCAAATCCTTTTGCTTTTTCTTGTTGTTTTAAAATTTTTGCCTCTTTTTTAATAACATTTTTTAATGCATCTGAGGTCCATCTTATAGGACTGCTGAGATTAATTGAAACCAATTGTATGAAGTAGCCTTATTGCTTGCAGCCCACGATTTCACCATTTTCCTAACAAATGGTGGATGTAGTCTATGAGATACTATTGCTTGTTTTTCGTTTTTGTTGAAGATCGCTCATACCTATAGGTTGTCGTATATATTTCTGACTACCTTAGGGTACTCTGTGCCAGGTGATCATTCTGAGGATATTAGCAAATAGGCAGTTAAAACTCTGGGTAAGTCATCCCGGAGTCTGGCACGTACTGATGAGGCTAAATTCTGCCCTTGTACCTTTGTCCCTGCTCCTCAGTTTCGATGATTTTTTAAAATCTTTTAAAATCTTTCTACCACTGCCTTTGGTAAAGTTTGAACCTCCTGTCCCTTGTTCTGTTTTAATGTCCTCATTGAGGATTTTAAGGTATGAAATTGGTCCTATAAAGATAACATCTCATTGTTGAGCATAATTTTGATGGCCTGTATATTACTTTTCTGGAGAGATACCTTATTCATTAATTTATCATAACTTTTAAACGGATTTTGATTATTAAATTTAGAAGCACAATTTTTTTTCAGATAATGTTTTAGCACCTTTTGACATTGACTGGATTTTGTTTGTCAAACTGAAGCTATCCCTCTTCATAGTATTGATTTTTAAAACTAGCTGTTTATTATTATTAGTCTCTAAAGACTGTATCATTTTTTATATGTGCCTCATTTTTGGCTCTGTTATTAAACCATTTTCTTAATGAGATAATATGAAAAATAAAACTAATCCCTAGAATCAAATAAATAGACATATAAGAAAAATCACATAAGCTTTACAGAATACCATTCATAGCATAAGTAAAATGGTTATTAAACTCCAAGATGATTATATTATCAGTAATTTTGTAGTTTTTCAGATCTTACCTCCTGTAAGGCAATTACAGTGAACTGGAGTAGGTGTGGTAATCTTTATTTGCCAGCAGGTGTTGCAGTTGGGGATGCATGTCTGAGAGATGCAAGCAGCATTGAACAGCATGTGTTGCTTACATAGGTACTGAAAAGTATCCTTTTTTTTTCACAAATTAAGAGCAGTTATTAAGGATGGTCAAAGTGAGTCCAAGAGTTGGTGACTTGAATAAGGAGAAAGCCCAAAACTTTCCATCAGTCGTACACCGCGAACTGTGATCCACAGGGGTCACTGGCTGGAGAGACAGTGGCACATTTGGGATGGGACCAGTTAAAAGGGACACGAGAGGGGTGGTGGGTGGGTTGCCAGTCCCAGCAGGAAACACGCTGAGCTGGTGAGCCGGGAGCACCGTGGGGTGCCTGGGCATCCTGAAGAGCAAGCATGGACTTGGCCCAGCTTTGGGTTGGGCGCCAGAGGAAGCTGAATGCGTAAAGTGGGGGGAGCACGAGTCAAATAATCCAAGCTGACTCCGAAATGGTGTATTCTAAGGACTGTACTAAGGGAGAAAACTCACGGAACAGGAACGGGGTCCAACCTCAATGTGTAGAGCATAGAAAGAAGAGATAAAGAGCAAGTTGGGCAGGATGGTGGCTTTCTGGGAACCCAAAAGTCGTGGCCCCACCTGGCCCAGCCTCTTAAAAGCCATTTGGCTGAAGGAGGTTCCCCATCAGACCAGGATTGCCGGCCTGTGCCACCACCTTTCTCAAGCTTGCTTTCATCCAGGAGAATCCAGCTCTAGCATTGCCCTCGCTGTCATGGCCCATCACTCAGCTCCTGGGGCCTGCGCTCATCTTCTGACTTAGCATCTTGTTCTAGTCCTGCTCCCTTGAGCGGTAGCCTGCACAGCCCCTGGCCGAGAGTCCAGGAGGCCAGCACAGTAGACGGGATGAAGATCGCAGGCCATTCCTTCTGGAGAAAAGTCCTTAGGAGTACACAGAGCTATAGAAGCGGATTTTTGTAGGAAGGTGGGTCGGCTGATCATATCCATGAAAAGAATTCAATCAGTGAGGCTTGAGTCAGGAGAAGAAAGCTGGAATCTGGAAAATCCTGATCTAAAACATGGCCAAGACAGTGCCAAGGGACCCCCACCGGACACCTCAGAGGACGGCTGTGATCCACAGCCCACAGAGAGAGAGGTCAGTGGCCTTCTGCTCCAGATCATGGTCATCAGCAGTTCCGTGGCTCTGTGATGTCACTGAAGAGAGAAGAATGGAGAGCTGGGTCCGTCTCCAGCTGCTCCCAGTCCTCTCTCCTTTGGGTTTTGGCAATTTTGGGGTGAGGGGAGGTGAGCTGAGTGAGCAGCGTGTCCCAGCTCAGTCTCCCCTCTGGCCACCGCAGCCCCTTCCTGCCTTTATGAAGAGAAATTAGGCAGCGTGAGTCACTTCCACCAAAAGAAGCCAGGCAAGCTCTGTGAGACTCGCCAGAGCGGAAGAACACAGTGAAAACAGTCTTTTATCCTTCTCTTCCTAGAAAACATAAAGAACAAGAAATCTGCACTCAAACTGGACTAGAAAAGAATGTTTGGACAAAATGAGGAGGAGAAAATGGACGAGACTTCGAAATGGAACCCTTTGGTCTTTGAGACCACAACCATCACGTTCTTCATCATACTCCTCATCTGCTTCATTTGTATCCTCCTTTTATTGGCAGTGTTTTTATATAAATGGTATACACCTATGCTGATGATCTGGGGGCCGGCTTCAAGTTACAGTAGCAAGTGTGTCTAGAAATAACACCAAGTCGTTTTAAATAGAAGTAAAAGTCCCATTCCACACCTTAGCATCTTCTGTACTGGTGTTTTATTGTTATTTTTAGTTTCAGAGGCAGGATTGAAGAGCCAGTGATTCCACTTTGTACTGATGAGAACGAAGGTGAAGATTGTTTAGCTGCTAATGTGGAGATGAACAAACCCGAGGATCAAGACAAGTGAGTCTGGGGAAGGGGCTCAGTGGGCAGGCAGCTGCTGCTGAGGCGTGACAGAGTCTGGCTTCTCCAGCCCTCACCTCGAAAGTCAAGTGTGGCTGCAACCCCTGTAACCCCAGCTGGGGGCAGAGACAAGCAGATCCCAGCCAGACCAGATGAACTGTGAGCTTCAAGTTCAGTGACTGCCCCAGAACCACAAGGGGAACAAGTGACATCAGATGACAATTAATAACCTCTGACCTCTGTAATCTGGGTAGGCTAGAAATTTCTATATGTGGTAATGTTGACTAAGGTGCATGACTTTTTAAAAACTGTTGATTTTCCCAGGGTCCTACTGCACTTCGTAAACATGGACATGCCTGTGAGACCTGGCATTCTTGTCCAAAGACAGAGTAAGGAAGCCACGGCCCCACACTTAAGAGGGAGCGCCGAGTCAGAAGAGGACAGAAACAGACAGATATTAGAGTCTGTGAATGTGAGAGAAACCACCCACAAGGTGACGTGTGTTCTGCTCTCGGGGGTCGTTTAGGTTTGATGAGGAGAGTCTTTTTGTTTTCATCTTTCAGTTTTTTAAATTATACATATAGATATATATTTACACACACACACACACACACACACACACACATATATATATATATATATATATATATATATATTTAAAATCTGCCTCTGTGTATGCCTGCAGGCCAGAAAAGGGCACCAGATCTCATTATAGATGGCTGTGAGCCAGCACGTGATTGCTGGGATTTGAACTCGGGACCTCTGGCATGGCAGGCAGCGCTCTTAACCGCTGAGCCATCCCTCCAGCCCCTCAGCTTTCATTCTTATTCCTATTTTTCTTAACATTTCCCTTCGTTTTGTTTTTCTTACACCCCTGGGATCTTAGCGCTGTAACAGTCCCTGTGAGGTATCTAGGATCAAAACTTCATGACACATGGAAAACCGAGCTGTGTGTCTGCTGCCCCACTGCTGCTGAGCACAGGACAAGCCCGCTGCCCTTGCTGCGATCTTGGGATCCGTGGCATTGGCACACAAACACTTCCAGAACCTTCACGAGCTCCCACCTATCTCCACATCCTGTCGGAGACAGACTGCGGGCTCTCAGCTTTATCTGCATGCCATCAAATTTGGCCAGACCAGTCCAGGCTTCTTAGCCGTGGGAATCCGGCAGCCACACACGGTGGATCGTCGCTGCCGCCTATACTATTCGAAAATACTTTTTCTATTTCTCCTTCACAACGTGCCTTTGAATGCTTTAAAGCACGACTCCTTGTGTTTGAAATGCACTTCAGGTCGGTCATTTCTATGGTTTGTCCCGTTCTCATTGCAGGGTGTGATCGCTGAGAGAACACCCACGCATGTCACCTTAACTCCTTCGGTTATTGAAAGCCAAAAAAGACCTCTGAAAGGAGTGACATTTTCTAAGGAGGTGATTGTTGTGGATCTTGGAAATGAATATTCCATGCCTCGAAGCTATGCTCGAGAACATAAAGAGAGAAAGTGAAGCGCGGGAAAGGCTGCCGGAGAGAGAAGTGGAACCTTTGACAAGCACCGGATTGCTGTGACAGGGTCTCGTCAGAGCAGCGGAATGATGGGAAAAGAGCAAACACAGGCGATATTTTACCTCTGTCGGAAAGAAGTGAACTGTGCAAAATTTTGTACGTAAAATACTGAGCTCAAATATAGTTTTTAAAAAGCAAATCTGAGTTTGGTAAGTTGACCAGAATAAATGTCCTTAACCGTCTGTCTACTACTACAGCAGTGAGTGTCGTGTTTGTGTGGGGTTTTAGGACGCTGACTTTGGATGCTTTGATCACAGGCATTCGTGATCAGATACCCCTGCAGCTGTCATCATGGGAACCCTGATAGTGAGGTCTGGGGTCCTCTGTGCATTGGATGCAATCCAAAACTGCTTGTTCTGATCATTGCATTATAAGATTGGGTCGAAAAACCAGCTGCTGTCAACAAAACATACCGCTAAATTTGGCAAATCGTAGAATTAAGCCATTCCTGGTTTCTGTCATTTAAATCTGACATAGACATACCTGTAACATCAGCTACTTGGGAGACCAGGAGGTTACTTGAGTCTAAAAGTGTAAGACCAGCAAGACTCTATCTCCAGCAAATGATAAAAATGTGCTGTCCAAATGTGGAGTGTGGCAGTCCGGTCCAGAATGACCACCTTCAGAGGGCTGCAGTAAACGTGAACAAAATGCATCAGGGAATTACAGACAAAAACCAGAGCACAGCCCTGGCTCTGGTGCACCACGCTTCGTTCTGGCCTGGGGTAGATAAACGGTGATGATGGAGCGAGGGCTGTGTATGTGGGTGCTGAAGAGCACGCCACGCAGAGAGACCATAGCAGACACAGCCCAGACACGCCTGTGTGGGACATTTGCAGCTCTCGGGAGAGTGGGGGGTGATTAGGATGTACTGAGCAGCCGGATGGCTGGGAGGGCTGCGAGCGAGGTAGAATCACCGTAGGGGGTGGATTAAATGGCCTGGGCTGGGAGGAGGAGTGTGTAGAAATATTCAGATTCTCTCTTCTCAACATTTCAGTATTTTACCTAAAACTGACACTAACGTTTTGACTTTTATTATACAACTTACTCCGCGGCGGTAAATTCATTTACATTGTTGTACAATCATCCCCATCCGTTCACAGAAATCATCTGATTAAACTGGAAGGCTGCACGCCAGCATTAGCTCCCAGTCCCTCCTCTCCCTGAGATCTGGCTCTCCCTAGAGGCCCCGAGGGATCTGCCTGTCTCTGTTCCCACACGGCAGAGATCACAGGCATGGCTTTTTCGTAGGTACTGGGATCAGCTGGAGAGCCTCTTAGCACAGCAAGCCGTTTCCCCAGTTTGCGCTAACACGTGCTGATGGACTGGGTGTGGCTTTGAGAGATGAGGGAGACACCGAGGGAGTTTTGCCGAGAAAAAAAAAATCTGGTTTTGATTTTACTTCTTTTGGGAGTATGAGCGTTTTGCTTGAATCTATGTCTGTGTGGCGTGTGCATGCCTGGTGTCTCTGGAGATCATAAAGACAGACCGGAGTTACAGATTGTTGTGAGCCGCCGTGTGGGTGCTGGGGCGGGTCAAACCTCAGTCTTCTGGACAGGCACTCAATGCTCACAACTGCTGAACCATCTCTCCAGCCCCTGTGAGGAAGAAATATTTGAATAAAGCCTTGGGAATGGAAGCTGGGGTGACGAGTGCCCACCAGGCAGAGGAAGGACTTGGCTTGCTAGGAGAGCAAAGGCCGCGGGCAGGGCAGAATACAGTACTGGGGTAGCCCCACGTGTGCAAAGGCTAGACCAGACCTGAGTGAACCTTGCTGAGTAGTGATTGAACCGGCAAGATTCTCAGAATCAGCAAAGACTGGACTGAAGAGAACTCTGGCCTCCAAGCGCTGGGACTCAGGGTGCGCACCCCCACACCAGCATTGCGCCTTTTATTTCGAGGCAGAGTCGTTCTTGAACCTAGAGCTTGACGATTCTCCTAGGCTGCTGGCTGGCCAAGGAAACTCAGGAACTGCCTGTCTCTGTCCTCCCCCACCCCGCAGCATTGAAATTACAGACACACACAGCCACAGCCACATGTAGCTGCTTATGGGGGTGCTGGGATCGGACCCCGGTCCTATGCAAGCTTGGCAAGTCCTTTGCCAGTTTAGGCATCTCCTCATCTCACGGAGTCTTCTCTCCAGCCCCAAGTCACTTTTTAAAATCTCTTCAAAATGGGAGAGCAACAATATTAAGTGTCTGAGAGTCCAGACGGGCCTGAGCCACTAGCCAAACGGTCATATGTGAAAGAAATGAGTTTCCAACCTGCTCAGGGGACCAGGTGAAATGTCAGTCTCTTGTGATAGAAGCCTCAACTGTACCCTCTCAGAAGTAGCAATGCAAGAAGTTGAGTGGGTGTCATGGAAGAAGAGATGCCTGTGCAGTCTCGTGGCTGAGGGGTGGCTGAAGGGTGGATCCAGACCCCCATGCTGCACCATGCACCAGCCACTGGCTCCGTTCCACTGTTCTCTTACTCAATGATTGAGCCTAACAAGAATGCCAGAGCAGACCCATTCCTACAAAACGCGGGGCTCCACTGATGGTAGCCATGGTCGTAGCTTACGATGGGTGGCCATGGTTGTAGCTTACGATGGGTGGCCATGGTTGTAGCTTATGATGGGTGGCCATGGTTGTAGCTTATGATGGGTGGCCATGGTCGTAGCTTAGGGAGACTCCACTGATGGGTAGCTGTGGCCTTGGATTAGCTGGGAATCTCGAAGTGTCGATTTAGTAAAGAAAGTTTGATGACTTTTGTTTGATGAGGGTAAAGAAGGCGGGGCTGATGGAAGGACGTATACTATAGTAGCCTTCAGTAGGAACTTCCTGTGTGCCTGGAAACCGTCTAAGATCTTTATTGGAGCAATGACTTGAACGTCACAGTGCAGATGGGGCTGGGTGCCAGATATTGTTATTCCAAATAGCCTCTGTTCTTGGTAACAGAATTCCCAAATGCTAGCCCTGCACATGGCTGACATGGCTTCCATTTTTTCCTTACACCTTTCCTTACAAATAATAAAAACCCAGAGACACATATTGGGGTTCAACCTAAAGATCAGAAAAGCAAAGCAGCCAAGCCATTAGAGAGCTCGTCCCTCTATGAAATCTTCAGACTGAGAGACAGTTCTGTCTCATCCTACCTTTAATTCCTCTCTAGTGCTGGGATGAAAGGTGTGCACCACCGCCGCCCGGCCTCTATGGCTAACTAGGGTGACTGCTGGGATGAAAGGTGTGTGCTGCCACTGCCGGGCCTCTATGGCTAACTAGGGTGGCTGCTGGGATGAGAGGTGTGTGCCGCCACTGCCGGGCCCAGTGTGGCTGTTTTACTCTCTGGTCTTCAGGCAAGCTTTACTAACACACAAATGAAACCTCACGTGGCTCCGCTGGCTGCATTGGTGCTGCAGTTTCTTGCCTTTCTCTTTTTCTGTAGATTGGAATGTGGACATGTTTGCTTAAACTTGAAATGCCATGTTGGATCTTGATGAAGGGCAGAAAACATCAAAAAAAAAAAAAATCCACCAGTCACTGAAAACTGGGCTGGAGAAGATGGCTCGGCAGTTGGGAGCATTTGTTCTTTCGGAGCCCCCAGTTCAGTTTATTTGGGTGGGATGTATCCCAATCCCATAAACTCCAGTTCCAGGACTGGAAGGCATTTGTCTACACACAAATACCCATAAATAAAAACACAGATAAAAAGCAAAGATCAATACTAAAAGCAAAAACAAAGTTCCTCTAACCCTATAGGAAGTCTGAGCTTGTCTCTAGGGATGGGCCATCATGCTCCTGAGCACAAGGGGACAAGGCCCCAGGCCTTGACTTTATGAGTCTTTAGGAAAGTGAAGAGCAGAGAACATTATCTACTTGCTGATCCTCTGTAGCTCCACATATATGTAACTCCACATATATGTAACTCCACATATATGTAACTCCACATATATGGCAGACGTGCTTCTGTCTCCAGCTGCCAGCAGTCAACTCTGACCCGCAGAAGGCAGGTCACTCAGCTAGTCAATGGGAGCGGCAAACAGGGATTCACGCCAGGGCTGCAGAAGCAGCCATGCTTGCTTCTCTGATGGTTCAAGAGGGTTTCCTTCCCATGGTCTGCCTGCACCCAAATCCCCCCTCCCATGCTGTACCCACACATCCGCACCTGCACCCACATTTGATTGCTGGTCTTTGTTCTGGAGGGCCTTCACCCCCCCACACCCCCCTTACCCCCTTACCCCCCCCCCGATCCCCCACTCCACCTCCCATCCCCCCACCCCCACTCCCCACCCCGTCAAGTTTGTCTGCCCAGGTCGCTTTCATATTCCTTCAGCAAATGTCACCTTCTACTCTTAGGAACAGGTGAACACCGGGACCTGTGGCACTGTTGTGTAAGGGTGCTGATTGTCAACTTGACACAAATTAAAAGAGTGACCCTCCATCCGACTGGCCTGTGGCTATGCCAGTGAGGCATTTCCTTGATTAATGATTGATGTGGGAGTGCCCCGCCTACAGTGGGTGGAGCCGTTCCTGGGCAGATGTTCTGGGACTACAGAAGAGGCTGAGAAACGATCTAGCCGGTAAGCAGCCTCCTCCGCGCTCTCTGCTTCAGCTCTGGCCTCCAGCTTCCTGCCTGGAGGTGTTGCCTCGGCTTCCTTCAAGGAGACGCTGTACCTGAAAGCTGAACGAAGCCCATCTTTCCTAAGCTGGCTTTGGTTATTCTATCACGTTGTCCTCACAGCAGCAGAGGGTGAGCCAGAACAGCAAGGACACGCAGGGGAGGCGAGCGTTGGTTCTCAACTACCCTGCCTTGTGTTTGCTACAGGTGGTGCAGACAGCGTTTCCACACCGCTTCGTCTGACCCGTCTGTCTGAGATGGCGGTTGTGTCATGTCACCTAACTGTACACCAATCAACGTGGGCTAAAGGGACCCTGCTTTAGTAGGCGGGGACTCCCAGTGTGTATCACAATGCCCGACCTCAAACTTAAACAACAACAAAGACCCACACTACACACACACACACACACACACACACACACACACACACACACACAC